CAACTATAGGAATTAAAATTCCTATACTATCCCAACGAGCTACACCAAGCATCGTTTCAGATGAGAACAGCCGCGATAAATCAGCAGGCTAGTACTCGAGCTTGATTATATATAAAAGTCACTATTAAGTGACAGTACATTAGAACTAGACAGAAGAGGACTAGAACATATGAAGTTTTTAAGGTATCAAAATAGCATAGATTTGACTTGAACGGTTAAGGTCTTTTTGAAAACCTTTATTGTCGAAAATTTGACGCCTAGAGCTACATTTTCCCGAATTTTAGGTCGTTTTTAAAGAAAAACGTCCGATTTTTGTTATATTATCCTGTCCACTAATTGAACGTTCAGTCGACTCTAATGTCTAAAAACATTTTTGGGTACGTATTTCTAAGTAACTATATGTTTATTTTTTATGCAACCTGACACGGATCTTATCTGTGCAAAATAGTAATACTAACTCAAAACAGAATAATATGCTAACAATTAGTGCCTAATTGGATACGTACATGGCGAAATTAACAATGTACTTGGTCAGTTCAGCGGGACGCGCGCCGACAATTATTTGTAGTTATCGATCTATTGTATTTGTACTTACTATTGTGGAAATATGTATTGTTCGTTTTAGCCGTACCCATAGAAACAAACTGACTTATTAATATCATCATGATCAACCATAAGCGATGAAAGATACAAGCAGCATAAAATAATTCCATCTCGAACGATTGTTTGCGGTTTTACAGTTATTTAACTATAAGTATGACTGATCATTTTCAATTTGATATTTATAGGAAATATTTGTAGAGAAGTGCGAAAAAGCATATGTCTATTTTATCTTTGATGTTCATGACTTCAACGACTAAAAGCTTTTTATTTCAATAAAAGGTTCAAAAATGTTGACATATGAGCGTAATGTCATATTTATGTTAAATCAACAAGATAGTGTTTTTTTATATTATTTACTATAAGTATATACTATACATATATGACTTTGAAGGCTGCCGGACCCGACAAAGTGGATGTACACCGCTGTTTTTAGACATATCGTAACCTACTGCTGCAGTATATGGATCAGGGCGACTCAAACAGAGCACAATGCAAAGAAGTTCAAAGATTTAAGGCACTGGCACTTAGAATCATGTGTGGTGTCATGCCAATTGCACTCCCTTCATCGCACTGAGCCACCTCGCTGACACTTCAGATATTATACTTTTCCTTAGTGGTGAAGTAGCAAAGGGTGCAGCTAGGCTGCACGCCTACGGTAGCCTGTCCCTAGAAACTATCACCTATGGAAAATGGACAATCACCACTCACATCACCATCAATAAACGATTACCATCTCGAGCAGAGACAGATCTTTCAATACCAACTTTTCCGTTACAACTCCTGGCGCAAACACACCGAATACAGAGACTTCCTGCAAAACAACTGCATTGACAGAATCCCATCCAGCGATACTGCTACACAGACGAGCCACGCACAGATTCAGGAAGCAGGGCTGGTTATATCATCACCACTGACAATAATAATACAACTCTAGAGGAAAAATCATTTAAACTTCCTGCCTATTGTCACAGTGCTGGTAAGTATGACCGTTGCCCTTATATATACCTCCCATACTACTATACCCCTTTACTGGTTTTTCAGGCATTAAGGCTCATTAGAAGTCTTCTTCTTCGTAGGGGGCTGTGGTCAATATCACTAATGGTAAGATCGTTACCACTGTAAGATAGAGCAGGCAGTATCTAAATAGCCCGACCCCTGTCCGCGGACAACTGTCTGCGGACAACTGTCCACGAACACCTGTCTACCAGATCATATGACCGCAAATCTTATGAAATTGAATGGTATGTATGGTATCTTGGATGCAATTAGTTACGACTAGCATAATTAATTGTAGCGTAGTAAATTACTGGATCAAACTATTGATTGCGATTCAAATGTGGTCCCTCGGATATAATTAGTTATGAATAGCATTGAGTAGTTGATTGTAGCGTAGTATATTGCTCAATGAAATAATTGATTACGATTTAAATGTGGTATATAAGTTGTTCGTTTTTGGTGAAGTATTATCAGTTGCCATCATCAACAACAACTATTCCAATTCCTAACATGGTACTCTTCTGTCTAATGGACGAAATTAATGGACCCACGGCCTCCCTAGAGAATGCTCGAGACTTCCTATTCCGAAAAACCTCCTAAAGAGCTCCATGTCCTGTCCTGAGTGTAACGCATCTATGTCCCTGGTTCCCTGCTTGTCCTTGAAGTCTCCAGATGGACTGATATGGCGCTGCTCCCCCTGCAAGAAGTACAAGAATATCAGAACAGACAGTATCCTCTCTGGACAGAAGCTCGCTCTCAAGACCTTTTTACAGCTGCTATTCAGGGGATACTGTTATTATGCAGTAATATGATCTGGTAGACAGTTGTTCGTGGACAGTTGTCCGTGGACAGTTGTCCGTGGACAGTTGTCCGCGGACAGGGGTCGGGCTATCTAGATACTGCCGGTAAAATTAATAAATAAGGAGAAAAAATGTTTAGATTTTGTTTTCTTTGAATTTAGTAAATCGTTTAGTTGCTTGTATGAAGCCGATGATCCTTGGTAGTGAGAATTTGTCCACTATGTCTGTCACGCTAAGATAAAATGAGTCAAAGTATCCTCCTCGTTGGTAAGACAATTTCGGGCAATCGGGCACTGGCCAATAAAGTGGTTCATTGTCTCCTCCTCCATGAGACAGTGTGGACAAATTTTAGGGACCGTTGTCGGCTTATTAATGTGGTAGTTTAGTTCACAATGTCCAGTAGTGAATTGTGTTGCTGTTCTTGTGCTCTCTTTGCCAAGTTTCGGGATTGATCTGGCGAACTTATGTCTCCATACTCGTTTGAAGTGAGTGTTGACTGTTGGGCAACGTTCTCCATCTTTCCCTCATTTTCCGATGACTTATACTCCGCAGCGCTCCCTTCCATAATACCTTTGGTATTGGTAGTTGCACATGAGCGGAGTCCAAGTTATCGGAGCCTTTTTTGGCAAGAGAGTCTGCCTTTTCGTTACCATCATAGCCTTTATGAGCTGGAATCCATCGTAGTATGACTTGATTGTCCGTTGCTAGTTGGTTCAGCTCACTTATTGCCATGCTGGTGCTTTTTGATTTGACTTTGATATTGCTCTTTGCCATTATTGTCGCCTGGCTATCGCAGTTTATGATGATTTTTCTACTTTTGGTTCCAGATTCCTGTAGTATTTTTGCCGCTGTGCCTACGGCAAATGTCTCGGCCTGAAAGACGGTTGAGTTGGTTCCTAGGTGGTAGGACTCCTCGCGTGGAGGGGTGTCGTTATCGACAATGTACACTCCTGCTCCAACTTGTTCATTCATTTTGGAGCCTCTGTGTAGCATTGTATGGTGTTGGCGTCATTCTCAATTTCCTCGTACTCGGAGAGTCGTGGAATTTCTGTGGTAAAACCAATGTCAACATTCAGTGATGCAGTCTGTTGGTCTCGTCCTTCAGAATCGAGTTTGATGGTCTTTAGTAACTGTTCGTTGAGTTTTGTATGGGTGATTAGATTGCCCTTCTTATTAACCATCGGCTCATATATCCAGTGGTTGTTGGATTTGAGTCTAAGAGCTCCTTTCGCTGCTTCCTCTTCTATCACCAGGTCGATGGGAACGATTCCTGTGATGATGTCTAGAGCTGCTCCAGGAGTTGATGGTAACCCTCCTGTTATGAGAATATTCCCTAGCCGCTGAACGCTGCTTAGGATTGTTAGGTTATGTTTTTTGGATACACCATTGAGCCAGATTGTCGCAGCGTATGTCAGGGAAGGTCTGACTACAGCCGTATAAATCCATTTCATGGTCTTGGGGGTGAACCCCCATGTTGGTCCTATGGCTCTCCTGCATTGCATGAGTATGCCTTTGGCTTTTTTACATTGATTTTTGATGTGTTCATTCCACGTGAGTTTGCTATCGAGTGTTACTCCTAGAAACTTAGTTGAGTTACGCATACTTATTTCGGTTCCGTTCACTGTTAGAGGTTCAGAGAATTCCCATTTCCTCCTCCAGGTGAACATTACTGTATGTGTTTTAAGAGTACTTAGCTTCAGCCCGTTGTCGGTGCACCAGTTCATGATGGCTCCAAGACTTTTCTGCGTCATCTCTCTGAGATGATCGGCATCGAAGCCCTGGTTTCTGCATTTTGCCGGTCCCTCTAACGTAGCTAGTAAAGCAAAATCGTCCGCGAACCCTTGCAGTTCACATGGTATCCTGTATCTGGTGTACGACAGGAGACTGTCCACTACCAGGTTCCATAAGAATGGAGACAGGATCCCACCTTGCGAACACCCTTTTCTTATAACAATGGATTTCCTGCATCCGTTTAATTCCACGTTCGTGGTTCTATTGCGGAGTAGGGACATAATGCATTTGTTGACTGAAGACGACTCACATTTCCGGTTCAGGGCCTTCTCTATAGATTTGAATGCTACATTGTCGAAGGCCCCTTCGACATCTAAGAAGGTTCCTAGAGCCATACCGGAGCTTATGATTGTCCGTTCTATTTTGTGTACTATTTTGTGTAAGGCTGTTTCAATGGAGGCACCTTTTACAAAACCGTATTGTTTTTTATTAAGTTTTGAGTATATCTTAAGGTCTTCCTCCATATGCCATAGCACTATACGTTCGATCCACTTGAGTGGTACTGGAGCCAGAGTGATGGTTCTTTACTCTGTAGGATTTAGGGTTGTAATAGTCAGTTTTCCCTGGTTTTGGTAGGAAAATGCCTGTCGAGTTACGCCAGCTATCAGGAACGTATCCACTTTGGAAGCTTGTCTTTGCTAGTTTTGTGAAGGCATCGCTTATGAGTGGTAGTCCCTTCTGTAGCATTATAAGGCGCAGACCGTCAGGGCCACTGGCTTTTAGGCCGTCAAATTCTAGTACTGACTTCTCAACTCTACCTTTGGAAAAGATAGTGTTGGATGTCCAGTTGTTGGTTAAATTTGGTGGAATTTATTCTGCCATGTTTTGGTCCTGTTGAATACTTGGTGTCGTGGCGAAATGGGCGTCCACCATGACTGCCAGGGTTTCAGCTGGGGATTCGGTGAGGACACCCTCAGGCTTCCTCACTGTCCCCAATCGGGCATTTTTGTTGTTTTTTATTATCGCAGATATTCTCTTTGAACATGACTTTGCTTCCATGTTCTTACAGAATTCCTTGAATTTAGATGTTTTAGTACGTCCAACCAGTCTGTTGTACTCCGCTTGATGTGAGCGTAGTTCAGACCAGTCTTTGTCGGACTTGGTCGACCGAGCTTGTCTAAGGCGAAACCGGATACCGGCGTTCGCCTCTCTAACTTCCGCGGTTTCCCACGGAGGAGCACGAATCTTGTTAGACACATACCTCTCCGTACATGCGGAGTTATACTTATAGGCTCGGTTGACGTTATCAGCCAATACTTTGACTGTTGTGTCAATTTCGTTCTCAGTCAATATGTTATCGAAAGTGCCTATTGATCTGTCCATTTCATCAGCTAGGACTTCCTGAAATTTCTTCCCGTCCGTCTTAGCAATGTCTCGGAATATAGTTTTACCCAGTCCGGTGTTGGATGTGATCTTATAGGTGATGAAGTGGTGGTCTGAAGAGTTTTCATCTTCGTCCCTGACCTCCACTTGCCATCGGTTAACGAGGTTATGTCCTTTTTTGTTTGTAATTGTTAGGTCAATGGCATTCTTCCACCGTCCGTTGTCAAATGTGGGTGAATTACCGTTATTTTCGATAAATAAGTTCTCGCTCGCTATATAGGCTAGCAGAGAGTCCCCTCGGTCTGACCCGACCTTATCGAAAGTTGTACTGTGCCAGCAAGTGTTTTGTGCATTTGCGTCAGTGCCTGCAATGAAGGCCATGTTGTTACGATGTGCATACTCCACAGCATTCCTGAACGCGAGAGGTGTACATTCTGGGTCAAGCCTGTCCATGTAACACGACAGTAGAACAACATTAGTATTATCAATTTTAGTTTGGATGGTTGTGCAGTCCCCAGTTGTAAGTGAATCCATGAAACATAGCTTATTTTGTAAGCATTTGTGGTAATAGATACACGCACGTGGCCGCTTTAAGTGGTCACTGTTTGCGAAGACTTTAAGTTCAGATGCCGGGGATAGGATTATGTTTTCCCATTCACATACGGTTCTTGTACGAGTGCTAGTGGGTTACCAAATTTTTTAGCAAATATTACCAAATCGTCGGTTGCCCTCTTAGCTTTGTTTGTGTTAATTTGTATGAAGTTTAAATGGTTCTTACCTTTAGTTCTAGCCAGTCTGGTTGGCTGTCCCAGGGAGAGAGTGTTAGTTGATGAATTTGATAAAGTTAATGGGGTTGTGTTCGAAGATGGGGTTCTTGAGCTCTGGCCATTCAGGATGGCCAGGGAATCAGTCACCTTAATCGGTCCGCTGGCTCCTGCTCTTGGCTGGTCGCAGCGTGACAGATGTTGTCATTGTCTTGAGTTTATAGCCATTCCTAACTAGGTAGGACTGGCCGGCCTCATTGACATCCACATACGCTGTAGGGCTACGACCTCCCTGGGCGTTCATCGACACAAAAGTTAACGAGTCAGGCGGCAAATTCGGATTCTTGCGCTGCAGAAACTGAACAATTTGCCTGCCTTGTAGGTTGGTGAGGTACCCGGGTCCTCCGAATGCGCAACGTCACTGAACAGGTCCAGTTCCGACCGTGAGGTCAGTCCTGTCCCCGAGCAGCTCCGTTACAGCACTCCGGGAACCCTCGTCGCTGCAGACAAGGAGGATCCGGCCCCCGTCAATCCGGCTGTCTCTCAGTGAGACTGGCCCGGTTGTCGCGGTCACCGGCATCTCCGCTATCCGCAGCGCCAAGAATTCCACGATTTCCCGGCGTACCTCCGTTGGTGGGCCCGCATTGGGAGTGGCCTCTACATTGAATGTTGGGCCTGCTCTGCGTGTGTTCTGTGGGGTTGTGGGGTTTGGTCGCTGTTCTCCAGTTACTGGTTCACTGCTGGTTTGTGGGGTGTTCTGTGAGGTGATTGGTGAGGTGGTGGGGTTTTGTTGGGGGCACGGCCGCTGATCACCATTTACTGGATCACTGCGGCGGCCTTCCCGTTATGCTCTCTCCTCAGCCTTCCTCTTGTTTTGGCGCTCCTTAGATTTCTTGTTTCGGCGGACAATAGCCTCAGCCGATCTCCTCATCTTAGGGCGTTTTGGTTTCTCGACAGGTTCCTTCGATTCCTCCTTCGGTTCCTCCGTAACTTCCATTCTCTCCACCATCAGTCCGGCCGTGTCCCTGTTAGTTTCCGTCTCTTGATCTTCCTCTGTTATAGGTTTTTTCCTTTTTCTTCCCTCCAAATCGTTCTCTTCCTCTTTTTTCTCGCCGGTTTCCTCCTCATTGAGGAGGATATTCTCCTCTTCTGGTGAAACTTCCGTAGTTTCCTCTTCCTCGTGTGAGGATTCGGAGGTTGAACGTTGACGTTTACCAGATTCAGACATATTTCTCACATTATTTGTTATATAGTAGTGTTGAACGTATTAAAACTGCCATTAGAAGTCGTTCAGCAGATCTGTTTTTGGTTTAAAACACTCTAATTCGATGTCAAAGATGACAGGAATAAGAAATAGTTATGTGGAGGTTTAGTACAGAGAAATCCGTCTGAAAAAAATCGATCTGCCGACACAAGAAGCTTCCTAAGGATTTTTGACGTTTTTGAGTCACATTAGGTGCCCTTAATGACTGACCAACTTTTCCAAACTTTTCCACGTGTCTTAAGGCCACTTTTTGCCACTTTACCACTTTTTACCACCTTTCTTGTTTGTCAAATATCTTTAGTTGTTAACATCGTAGAAAGTTGCAGATTAATCGAGGGTGTTTATATTATCAGGAAGAAAAACTTTTTTGGAGACAATTTATACCTCAGATAATCAATTAATTGGATAATTATCATTTAGCTAATTAGCAAAACTTTAAAATTTTTTATTGGCTCAAAATGATTAGAATAGCTTAAAACAAGGATAAAAGTAGTACCTTAAGAACGACAAATTTAGTCTACCTCAAAACTCATGTCAGGTTAGTATATGGTCGTCGACTATTCATGAATACAGGTTAGACAAAAACAATTTGAAGGGCTAGTCCGAAGAAGCAGTAGAACAAGAAATTAACAAAACCTTGATAGTTAGCCTTATTTTATCCTCCATCAAAAGACAGAAAGGGTAGGTGGAGTCTACCATCGACCTAAAGTATCCATATAATGTATACCAGGGATAGTTTAAAGGACTTTATTGTTCAAACATATTTGAAAAATTAGAAAAGTTCTGTTAGCCTCACTTTACCCTCCATTAGAAGGAATAAAAAGGGGTCGGCTTGGCCAGCCTTCAGCCTAGAGGATCCATCTCATGTATTTTAGGTCAGAGGATACTTTGATAGACGTAATTATTCAAATATAATTCAAAAATTATTAATTACTTGTTACTCTCATTTTTTCCTCAATTAGCGGAACAATTTTCCTCGTCTCTTCGGATTCTGAAAGAGTGAGATCTGATGAATTGATTAAACATTTTAAAACTTGTATTGCATGCTTGGAAGCTTTCATTAGAAAACAAAATGTAAAATGACTCGTTAGGCTCAATTTGCTCTCGACTAAATACTTCAAATATTTTATTAATCGAAACTCAATTAGTTGAACTATAGAAAATAGACGTGTGATATATCGTATGCCTATCTTAAAAGCTGCGACAATCTTCTAAAGTTAAATAGGGAAACACGTCTCGTGCGAACTAATGACCAGGGTCATGGATACCCTTATTGTAAAAATTAATGCTATATAAGTTTGGCTTCAAATCGTTCGAAGCCAGTGAAATAAGATTAAACTTGAAAAGTAATTAACTGCAATGTTTCTGGAGCACAGAGCGTCTATTTTGTGCGTTTTGCAAAAGCTTTCGGTAGATTGATTGAAACATAGACTAATGAAATAAAATCTAAATAATTTGATTATTATTCCTCCTCTATCTAAAGTTTTCTAATCCGCAGTACGGCTTCATGAAGTAGTCATTATGTTCTGAGATTGAATGAAATGTTTAAATGGTGTACAATTATTTTAGTAGGTGACACCGTAATTGCAGCTTATCACTGGGCAATCTTTTATTTGTGGCATCGGTTCTTTTAATTAATATAAAGAAGACAAAATTGTATTGCGAAAATTTTTGCATTGGGAGATATTATCATGATACTATAAATGCTGCCTACATGAAATTAAATGTGAATCTATCTAACTTTAACATAAATTCTATTCTTTCATAAAGTTATACAGGACTTATATAGGATTACTCATCTTTATCGATTTTTGATACATGAAATCATGTTTAGATATTTATATTCAACTGAAATGAAACCTTGTTTATTGATTTGTCCCACTGTTATTAAAATTAGCACTGTAGAAGTTAGATCCGCAGTCGAACAAAATTAGATTTATTCATAGAAGTTAAATTTTATGATAAATATTTGAATTATGCATAAAGGAGTTTGAATCCCTTTACCCTCTAGCTCGACATACGAAGATTATAGTGACACTGATACTAACTGCTACTATAACTCTGACCCCGATTGAGATGCTCAAAAGTTTTCATTGAGGCGTCTAAGTTGATGGCAAGCTAGGTCAGAAGTTGTTAGAGGACAAAGTCGTCTGCCCCCTTGCAACAGACCTTGCAATTTTGATTTCAAAATGTGGATGAAGATTGAAGAAGAAACACTGAATAATTAAGATTTAAGGATAACCCTGGCCCTGACTTCAAACAAAGATCAATGTTTTCAGTAATTTATTCTGTAAACAATTATGACGGTACTACGATAGTGGACCTATAATTTAATTTTAATTCTTTGTAATCCTGTATAATCTTGTGTAATCCTGTGTAACCCTGAATGAGTGAAATATAATTATTTGCATCAAGAACTTCCTTTTAGATTTGTAATTAGTTTTAAACTGTTCGATTCCGTTACTTTTAAAATGAATAAATAAAATATTATGAATATTAATTTGCATTGTTTATTTTATTAATAACGATGATTATGCAGTCTGATATGTGCCTCGTATTACTATTCATTTCCATTTAACATTTATCGACTAATGCATCGATCATGATGTGCGGGATCGTCCACAATTATGTTACATTTCATTTACGTATTTCTCTTAGCCCCGCATTGCCGTTACAATTTTATCAGCCTTGTGATTGATCGAAAAGGGGAGTGGTCGATGTGAATTTTCAAAGAAATTCAAAGTTTGGATTTTGAGGCACTTTCCGGGAAGTTCCGACAGTGAATGTCTTTCTTAAAATTCGACAAAATTTTCCACAAAAATATGCCTCAAATCTTATTGTTGTAATCTATACTTTCTTAATATGATTAAGCCAATCCTCAGGGATCACCTCCTCTTCCCATACCTTTTTAAACAGTAGCTCTAGTTGGCCAACAAGAGCGCTTCCTCCATATATAATATATAATACTTACCTTATCGAACCTTATTTGGACGGACATTAAATGAACGGACATAATTATGAACGGACATTAATATAAACGCTAGAAGGCATTCAAAACCATCAAAAATCCGAATTTTTTTCATTTTTTTAACCTTTTTTTTATTTCAGCAAATGATTTTTAAATCAAAAGTAAGAAAAGCAGTCGTTAAGCAGTAAAAATGTTAAAATATGTGTACATGATCAGTGTCTAATATCACATATCATCTTCATCAAATGGGTTTTCGTGCATGAAATAGTCTATGCTTAAAGCATCAATGATTTCTAGCTTTATGGGAACCTTTTTTATCAAACTACCCCGGTCCTGCATTTCAGTGTTACCTTTTACAAGCCATTCGGCGTGAAGTGGTTTTATCTTAGACAACTTTAGGTTAACCTTAACATCACATGGAGCTTTCCTAGCACTGTTTCATTACCTCCACTTAGTAATATGAACTATAACAACGTCGGACAATTTTTTCTTGGCAACACGATTTACCGTAATACTAATATCTAGAGGCTGGAACAAGTTTGTCATGTTGGCGGGGACTAGCTCATGAACTATGTTGTTGAGTGCCATAATTTCGTTGACTTTTTCCGCCAAGTGACATCATATACTAGTAGAGTTTTCTGTGCCTCCGGCAGACCAAGGAGAACCTTTCCGTCGTTAACTTACGGCACAATAAAGTTCTCATTATAGTTGTCATATTCTGAACAAGAAGTTCGAAGTAGGTCCGATTAGATACTTTTCCAAACCCAGCTGGCACTAAAGCGTATCATTTTGACTCATGTCACATATCATCCACCATTCATTCTGATTTCACCGGCAACCTTCCCCAGGGTTGCCATACCCCAGAGGTAGGCAGAGCATCTCAATGCTATCCTCTCGTAGGCTATCTTGGCCCAGCCTCTCTTTAAAAAAAAAAGAAGCTCCATTGTGTACAGCACTTCTAGTATGACCCATCAACATTTGTTGGAACGTTATACTTCATGGCGTGATGCCATAATTGCTATTAGATCATAAATCTATATCACCACTTCTCGTATGTGATTTTCAGTTGTCTGAATAGGTACCTAGTTGGTACCAGAGGCACATATTAGGTGCGATGGGTGCGGGATCGCACAATTTACCGTTTTCCGCACATTTCCGCATAATTTATTGTTTTCCGCACACTTCCGCACATTTTGTAATTTTCTGCATATTTCCGCATAATCTAGCATTTTCCGCGTAATTTCGCGTTAAGATTTTCGAGTGTAAAAACCAAAATATGTTAAAAGTCGGGCCCTTTTAGGACCGTGACTCAGGCCCTTTTAGGACTGTGACTCAGGCCTTTTCGGGACCGTGACCCAGGCCCTTTTGGAACTCATACCTAGGCCACGTGACCCAGTTACCACGTGACCCAGGCCCTTTCGGGACCATGACCCAGGCCCTTTCGGGACCGTGACCCAGGCCCTTTTGGAACTCATGCCTAGGCCACGTGACCCGGTTACCACGTGACCCAGGCCCTTTCGGGACCATGACCCAGGCCCTTTCGGGACCGTTACCCAGGCCCTTTCGGGACCGTGACCCAGGCCGTTATGGAACCCTCGTCGTTACTGTACTTCGATCATACCTGCAGCCCTGTAGTTGAGACTTGTTTTTTGTTCAAATGCAGCCCTTTTTATCGGGTAATATGAGCTCTATTCGTTGTAGCGTTGGCTTTATAGTGGGCTTAATGGATCTTGGATCAAATGGTTTACAAGTACTGACGATCAATGCCAACAAGCGTGTCACATATTTGGGATCACGTATGGGATCTGATCGACTCTATCAAGAGGCGTCTTCAAATAACTGTCTCCTGATCTCTACCAGATCAAGTCACTGTTCTCAGATAACTGAATCTCAATATAGGTTCAATCATGGTCTTAGTAAAGAACTACACCCTCAGTAACACATAAACAGACTTATTTTTGATAAGAGCGGCGGTTATACGTTTAGAATTTCCAAAGTCCTTGAGAAAATGCAAAAGAAAACCGCACAATTCCCGCACAAATTTCGAAAAAATCGCCGCACATTTTCCGCATAATTGGTAAAAATTTACCGCACTTTACCGCATATTTTACCTTTATAGTCGGGTGCGGTACCGCATAATTTCGATTTTTTACCGCACCTAATATGTGCCTCTGGTTGGTACGATGTTTGTTGGAGTAAAGGATAAATAATATCCGGATTATATTGGACTGAGATCTAATCAATTGGATTATGAACGCGAGCGTTGATCAGGGGTAGACGTAGCCATATCTTCTTTACTCCGGCAATTATAATTCTCCCATTATATTTTCGTTGACTTTATTGTGACCCGTTCTGCTACATTCTGCAGTATTGGCACTGGTCTAGCAAATATAACGGGGTCTAGCGACACTGCATGCGTGTTTTAGCAACTTTGTAGTTGTAGTTCAGAATTTCAAACATCCTCTCCAAATTGTAAACGATGTTTGTATTTCCTGTATGTGATAAATCAAAGACAAAGGGTCGCGCTAAAGTTGCCAAATAGTATGAGCTCTGAGGGATCCTTTTACTGCTTAGTTCACTTTTATGTTTTAGGTTGTACCTTATCGGACTTTATTTGGACGGACATTACTTGAACGGACATAATTATGAACGGACATTAATATGAACGCTAGAAGGCAATCAAAACCATCAAAAATCCGAAATTTTTTCATATTTTTTTAAACTTTTTTTAAATTTTAACAAATGATTTTTAAATCCATTTTTCATACAGTAAGCAAGAAAAGCAGTCTTTAATCAGTTAAAATATGTGTACATGATTATTGTCTAATATCACATATCATCTTCATCAAATGGGTTTTCGCGCATTAAATATTCCATGCTTAAAGCATCAGTAATACCCGCTTTTTGGAAACCTTTTTTTATCAAACTACCTCGGTCCTGCATTTCAGTGTAAACTTTTACAAGCCATTCGGCGTGAAGTGGTTTTATCTTAGACAACTTTAGATTGACCTTCTCTAACCTGTTCTCGATAAAACTTATTGTTGTAGATTTATTTGCCCAATGTTTCTCGTTAAAAATAACCTCAAAGTCTTTTGGAAATGTATACTTAGGATGAGATTGCTTTGTTTTTCCCTTGTACATCAACTGCATGGGCATACAAATTTATATCAAGATAGTGATCATGCCATAATGTGATATTTACAATTTAGATCGTTAAAATTTTATAATAAATTATTTTCATTGATTCAACAATATTATAGTTTAGTCTAATGGACTTTAACTTGGACGGTAATTAAATGAACGGACTTTATTTGAACGGACATTAAAATGAGCGCTAGGGCCTGCAGCGTTCAAGTAATGTCCGTCCAAATAAGGTCCGATAAGGTAAGTTGCTCATTAGTTATCTCATCAACCCCGGGACCCCCGCACTTTTGCAGTTCTTCAGTTTCTTTAGAGCATAACTAATATCATCTTTAGAAGGAGGTCAATCAGAACAAGAAAGGTAGTTAAAACTTTTTTGTGAGGGCACACACTCTGTTAGATGACTCAAAGTTAATCTGCCCTTTATCCATAGTTACCGTAATATACCGTTTATTGTATATACTTACAGGGCAACATGTTGGTATTGTGTGTGGTCGGACTAGTTATATTAGCTACAACAACCAACGCTGGTAAGAGCTTTAGTTTTATTTCGTTACAAGTCTAGCAGTTGGAATCGGATTTACTTTTATAATCTATTTTATTGATAAAACTGAAGTTGAAAAGATTTATCGCAATACTACAATTTTAATGAGTTTATGAACCACGCCCAAACTCTTTAATATTTCAGGGGGTGAAGAGACTACGCCCAAACTCTTTAATATTTCAGGGGATGAAGAGACTACGCCCAAAATCTTTAATATTTCAGGGGATGAAGAGACTACGCCGTTTACTGCTGTTTCCTTCACCCATGCGAGTACTTACGCTTACACCATCCCCGGCGAGGTTGTCAAAGAGGGTCAAAAAAGCGGCTCTGGTATGTTTCAAATATTAAATTCTGAATTGAGCTATAAACTTATAAAATATGATTTTGAGCTGCTAATTAGAGTTGCTGGTCATACATCAGGATCCTGATGAAACTGTCGCGGCACTGTTGTGGCACTGTCGTGGCACTCTCGTGGCACTCTCGTGGCACTCTCGTGGAACTCTCGTGGCACTCTCATGGCACTCTCGTGGCACTCTCGTGGCACTCTCGTGGCACTCTCGTGGCACTCTTGGCACTCTCGTGGAACTCTCGTGGCACTCTCGTGACACTCTCGTGGCACTCTCGTGGCACTCTCGTGGCACTCTCGTGGCACTCTCGTGGCACTCTCGTGGCACTCTCGTGGCACTCTCGTGGCACTCTCGTGGCACTCTCGTGGCACTCTCGTGGCACTCTCGTGGCACTCTCGTGGCACTCTCGTGGCACTCTCGTGGCACTATGTAATAAAAATATTACCAATTATTTACTAGTCTTGTCAGAGCCTTGTGATTTACAATACTGATCTGGTGACGTGTCACACGGTATCAGCTTATGGGCGTTGCGATAACATTCCAGCAGGATACACATGTTTAATTCCTGTTTAAACTCACGTAGGTATCACAATAACAAGTCCCACGTATTCAGGACCCGGATGTATGACCGAGTTGGCGAGGTGCCATTTAATTATAATGAATATCAAATAGAATATTTTCTTAAATGTCTTCTTACATAAGCTTTTTTTATTTAGGTAATGAAAAAGACAAAACGACCGTTGAAGAAGGATTAGATGGAAAAGGTACTGAGTACATTCCAAATTGCTAAAATGAATGTATTTTAACGTTTATTTGACCATTTTTGGTCGGACAAGGAATTTATTGAGTGCCCATATTGCAGCCTAGAAATAAAATTACTTGTAACCATAGTAACCACCTAACAGTAACAAAACAGTTACAATTACTATCTTGCTATGAATATATAAAATCAATTCATACCCATTGTGTCGACTTGATCATCGAAATTTACATATTATGTATTATAAAAATAATACATATGTATTTATAAATTTAAAATGTAGTTGTTTTTTTAGAAATATCTAACGATTGAAAATCAAACCTGCAGTGAATGGTAGATATACTAGATGGAAACTGGGTGAATGTTCGGCTACATGTGGAGGAGGCAAGCAAACCGGAACAAGGACGTGCACCAATCCTGCTCCTTCTAATGGTGGTGCAGATTGTGCTGGTCCTGCCACAAAAACTAAAAGATGTAACAAACACAGCTGCGATACAGGTTAGACCATTTGATAATATTATTTGGATCACTATAGCACCCTTTAAGCAGTTTCTCATGTTGTTTCGGCTATAATATCATACAAATTATCGTCGCATATGGCGCAGCATCTTACTCTACCGGTCCTTATTATTCATATTCCTGAATATTATCATTTCTAATTGAAACAATTTCGTATCACAAGTTTGCGTTTCACCACCCACCAGTGCCTCACCCACCGCCTCACCCACCAGTGCCTCACCCAACAGTGCCTCACCCACCACCGCCTCACCCACCACCGCCTCACCCACCCTTGCCTCACCCACCACCAACTTACCCACCAGTGCCTTACCCACCACCGACTTACCCACCAGTGCCTCACCTACCAGTGCCTCACCTACCAGTGCCTCACCTACCAGTGCCTTACCTACCAGTGCCTCACCCACAACCGCCTCACCCACCACTGCCTCACCCACCACCGCCTCACCCACCACCGCCTCACCCACCAGTGCCTCACCCACTACCAACTTACCCACCAGTGCCTTACCCACCACCGACTTACCCACCAGTGCCTCACCCACCAGTGCCTCACCCAGGAAGTGCCTCACCTACCAGTGCCTCACCCACCACCGACTTCCCCACCAGTGCCTCACCTACCAGTGCCTCGCCCACCGCCTCACCCACCAGTGCCTCACCATCTATATTTAGAAACTATTGTAAAACATCTCCCCTCAGTATTCTGTGACCAAGCAAAGGAAAAGTGTGACGAAGACGTGAAGGGTTGTGGTAAGCCATACACAAAGTTAATCAAGACATGTAGATCTGAGAGATTTGACCATAAAACCTGTAGTGACGAGTGCAAGACGGCGGTTCAAAGTTCCATGATGCTCTACCCTGCACTGGAGGAGTAAGTGTAATTATGATAAAGACACGATTACTATTTTTGTAGACAGACTAAATTAGTCCATACAGAAATATGATTATTTTTATTGATATGATCGAAAGCTAAACGAATGAGATTATTTATATATATTTTCATCTTTGACTTAAAAATTCGTTACAGAATTACCTCCCCGAAAACTGATGTTATTGAAAGTTACAATTGAATTATTGAAAGTTATACTGCATCATTGAATATTATGAATTATTTTGACACGATATTCGTATAAAATTAATGTGGATGATAGCTAACAACATTTATTTTAGATACTTCAAATGTAAATGTCAACCTAAAGCCAAGAAATGTAAAAAGGAGAAATGCAAATTCTTGTCAGCTTGTTTAGGAGGTATGTGACTATAAATACCTCTGGGATATTGCCAAGGGAGGGATAGAAAATAAGGGGGGGGGGGGGGGGGGGGGGGGCGTTATTTTAACCCATCCCACTGTTTACCCGATTAATAAATAATCCCTTTACAGTTTTAGTTAAGATATAATCCCACCTCATATTCTCTCAACCTAGTTTTGCTCCGTGATCGGAGTCAGTTTCCAACCGTAATTAATCAAAAACAATTATCACTATATTAAATTGGGCATACTTTGCACCAAAAATGCTGAAAGCGCTCATTTTTGGACTTTAAACAAATATAGTTGAGTTGAGAGTAGTTTAGGAAATATAGCATTAGCAGTTTATAGCATTCATTTTTAACGCAAAAATACATTGTGCAGTCTCTGCATCTTACCAAATTTCCGCTTAATTGATAAGAAAGTTAAATTTAAAGTTGTTTGGTACTAATCCCTGCAGTAAGAGTAATTAAGTAATTACTCCCTGAATACGTGTGTTATTGTTGTTGTGTCCATATATTGTGCTCATGTTACTATCATGTTCTTATATCATCAGGAGAATGTGACGAGAAGATAAAAGAGAAGAAACCCAAGGGCAATAAAAAGAAAGATGAAGATGGAGGTAAAGATTTAATGACGGGATTTTATTAAAATCCAATAATGTTTTGGTTTTGAGTCGAACTTAATTTAATTTTGATTCAAGGGAAGGGAATGGCCGGGTTCATCAATTGGTCTAATTATATATACATTAAGGCTGATAGTTACTGTACATATACAGCACATACAGGATTTTAATATAAATACTAAAATCCAATACTTTTAACCGATATAACAGTACATAAAAACTACAAAGGTTACCCAGCAATACTTACTTTTACTTTTGAAGTTAGGCCCTGGCCAGTAAGGTTTTCTGGTTATGATTTCTGATCTCTGTATGCGCTGCTACTGGACAAAGGATTATGTTGGGACTTTGCATTTCCATTGCGCACGACCGACTGACAAATTTCAATAAGAAAACTGAAAGATAAAAATGGATTTTCACTGTTTCAACTCACTTGATTGCGTAAGAACCATGATTTACTAATTTAGCTTTTAAGCAATTATTGGTTCAGATGACGAACAAGATGAAAGTGAAAGTTCGAGCACATCGTTTGGAAAAGGAGTGGGACGAGGTAAAGGAAGGTACAAGAAGGTAAACAAAAAGAAGGAACCGACTGAGCCACCGACAGAACCAGAGGGACCAGACGGTATGTATTTTGAAAGATAGGATTTAACAGACAAATAATTAAATTTTTTTATTTTTGTCATGTAAAGAATAGTGCGTTAACTATTGTTAGACATTCAAATCAAAAATATTCTCGTTCGATTAAATATTTCTACAATATCCAATTATGAATAAAATTGAACAAAACTGGAATATAATATAGCAATTAAAATATCTAGAGCTATAAAAAGAGTCAAAAATTACACATATCGCATTGCATTTGTAATTTCAACTGAGGTTACAAGTTTCGTCAGTTTTTGTACTTCTATGACATTCTACAGCTATTTGCTCGGAAGCAACCTTTCTGACGGCTGCCGGATGTCAACCATGTGGAAAAAACAGTTACCTTTCAAATGGGGGGTGTGTAAGTTGTCCTGAAGGAATGATATCAGAAGTTGGTTCTACATCAGAAAATGACTGTGTTTTTGGTAAGAATTTTACCAGATTTGACTCCTACTGTATTGTAATAGTTCAAATCAGTATCATTGATTGGGAACCAGCTTTGTTTACTGGTGAATGTTTACTCAAGAATTTATACATACAATAATATATACAATAATTATATACCTAAATCCGCTAATAAGATTTCATTAATTATTGAATACAGGCGCTGCTTAGATAAATGCAATGCCTAGTAACCAACTCTTGCACTAAAAATAAGCTTTAAAACAGTCTGAAGACTATCCAGTCCTGTATAGAAAGTTAAAAGCCTAGTAGGCACCCGCTTAGCACTAACTAAAACTTCACTCACACTGAAAAACAAGCATTATCACACATGTACTGATAAATACACTCAATTGCGACTACAGCTGAATATCTGTCCCTCCTTAATGTAAAACTTTTTGTCCGGCTCCGCTAAAGCTTTAGCTCTCATGCTGGCAATCAGCTCCTTTCGGGCTTCCCGCTGCTCCAGTGATCTGTCAGGGCTCAAAAACACAGTCTTAAACTTGGCTGATTGTCGCAATTTCCGAGCGTTTGCTAAGACTTGATGTACGATCAAGGAGCTGGTCAGGCAGACTTTCACTGGGCGAGTACAGGTAGAAGTTTTCTTCTTGCCGAGTCGCACTACTTCCACCTTCGGTTTCTGCCCTATTTCCTCTAAAACCTCGCCGATTCTTACCTCTAACTCTTCCTGCTCCTCCTCCGGCAAACCGAAAACAAGAAGATTTCGACTACGGTCCTCTTCTGCGACTACGGTCTTCACAACATTTTTTAGGGCTTCTGGGCAGATAACTGGGGCAGTTACCGTCTGTGAATTGCTTACAATTGCGCTGTAAGTCTTAATCTCCTCTTTAACTGAATCAGCGACTGAGGTTTCCACGATTTTCTTCATAGATTCCAGTTTCTCGGACTTACACTGAGAGAGCTCCTGCTGAACGCTGATGAGAGTTTCCTGGTTCTGAATCAACTTTGCCTGAAGAGTTGTGCAGCAATTTCGGTACGACTCCACAGTTTCCATTAAATAGCCAATGTACTCATAAGACCGACTACAAATGCCAACAAGTTCTGGCTTATTCACTGATTTCGCAAACTTCGGATCTGCTATGTCCGTCATCTTTCCGTACGGTTTGCCAAAGTTCCGCAACTGCTCTTTGCTCCAAGAATAAATCTCATCCCACCTGTAGTTAATACTTTCCAAGTCCATCTTTTCCATGATTACAGTTAAAGTTACACAATACAAGACGAGCGACAGGCTGAGCGGTGTCGTGATAACAGTAGAGATAAGCCCTGCGATAAGAGAGCAACAAATCAGCAGCAAATGTGAATGTGCTATTACTGAACTCTGAATGTGCTATTACTGAACTGACAGCTTTGACAGCATTGTCATTGGAATTAATTTGACGAATTCACAACAGAAATATTACGAAGTCCTAAAATAATTCTTCGCACAAGTGAATAGTTTTACAGTACTGTTTTTTTAAAGCTCCCTGCTCGGCTGGAAGCTACATGACGGATAGTGGATGTCAGCAATGTGGAGATAACTCTTTCAGTGCTGCTGGAGCTTATTCATGTTCTGAGTGTCCGGACGACATGGTATCAGCTGCCGGTTCTACATCAGAGGGTGATTGCGTTTATGGTAAGAAAAATGCTATATCTTAACTTTATCATTGACATACTGTGATGCAATGTAAACAACTAAACTCCGATTCCTTGCATTCGATTTAGGCAGTGCAATCGTTGTTACCTTTTTAGATTATCATTTAAGCAGTTGTTGGTTCTTTTGAGACTGCTAATGATATTTGTTACAGCTCCCTGCTCGGCTGGAAGCTTCATGACGGAAAGTGGATGTCAGCAATGTGGAGATAACTCTTTCAGTGCTGCTGGAGCTTCTTCATGTTCTGAGTGTCCGGAAGACATGGTCTCAGCTGCTGGTTCTACATCAGAGGATGATTGCGTTTATGGTAAGAAAAATGCTATATCTTAATTTTATCATTGACATACTGTGATGCAATGTAAACAACTAAACAACGATTCATTGAATTCGATTTCGGCAGTGCAATCGTTGTTACCTTTTTAGATTATCATTTAAGCAGTGGTTGGTTCTCTTGACAAGAGACTGCTAATGATATTTGTTACAGCTCCCTGCTCGGCTGGAAGCTACATGACGGAAAGTGGATGTCAGCAATGTGGAGATAACTCTTTCAGTGCTGCTGGAGCTTCTTCATGTTCTGAGTGTCCGGAAGACATGGTCTCAGCTGCTGGTTCTACATCAGAGGATGATTGCGTTTATGGTAAGAAAAATGCTATATCTTAATTTTATCATTGACATACTGTGATGCAATGTAAACAACTAAACAAAAATTCCTTGAATTCGATTTAGGCAGTACAATCGTTGTTATCTTTTTGAATTATCATTCAAGCAGTGGTTGGTTCTTTTGAGACTGCTAATGATATTTGTTACAGCTCCCTGCTCGGCTGGAAACTACATGACGGAAAGTGGATGTCAGCAATGTGGAGAGAACTCTTTCAGTGCTGCTGGAGCTTCTTTATGTTCTAAGTGTCCGGAAGACATGGTCTCAGCTGCTGGTTCTACATCAGAGGATGATTGCGTTCATGGTAAGAAAAATGCTATATCTTAACTTTATCATTGACATACTGTGATGCAATGTAAACAACTAAACAAAAATTCCTTGAATTCGATTTAGGCAGTACGATCGTTGTTATCTTTTTGAATTATCATTCAAGCAGTGGTTGGTTCTTTTGAGACTGCTAATGATATTTGTTACAGCTCCCTGCTCGGCTGGAAACTACATGACGGAAAGTGGATGTCAGCAATGTGGAGATAACTCTTTCAGTGCTGCTGGAGCTTCTTCATGTTCTAAGTGTCCGGAAGACATGGTCTCAGCTGCTGGTTCTACATCAGAGGATGATTGCGTTTATGGTAAGAAAAATGCTATATCTTAACTTTATCATTGACATACTGTGATGCACTGATGCAATGTAAACAACTAAATTCCGATTCTTTGAATTCGATTTAGGCAGTGCAATTGTTGTTACCTTTTTATATTATCATTTAAGCAGTTGTTGGTTCTTTTGAGACTGCTAATGATATTTGTTACAGCTCCCTGCTCGGCTGGAAGCTTCATGACGGAAAGTGGATGTCAGCAATGTGGAGATAACTCTTTCAGTGCTGCTGGAGCTTCTTCATGTTCTGAGTGTCCGGAAGACATGGTCTCAGCTGCTGGTTCTACATCAGAGGATGATTGCGTTTATGGTAAGAAAAATGCTATATCTTAATTTTATCATTGACATACTGTGATGCAATGTAAACAACTAAACAACGATTCATTGAATTCGATTTAAGCACTGCAATTGTTGTTATCTTTTTGAATTATCATTTAAGCAGTGGTTGGTTCTTTTGAGACTGCTAATGATATTTGTTACAGCTCCCTGCTCGGCTGGAAGCTTCATGACGGAAAGTGGATGTCAGCAATGTGGAGATAACTCTTTCAGTGCTGCTGGAGCTTCTTCATGTTCTGAGTGTCCGGAAGACATGGTCTCAGCTGCCGGTTCTACTTCAGAGGATGATTGCGTTTATGGTAAGAAAGTACAATATTTTATTATTAACATACTGTGATGCGAAAGAAACAACTAAACTCCAATCCCTTAAATTCGATTTAGGTAGTGCACTTGTTGTTATCTTTTTAAATCATCATTTAAGCAGTGGTTGGTTCTTTTGAGACTGCTAATGATATTTGTTACAGCTCCCTGCTCGGCTGGAAACTACATGACGGAAAGTGGATGTCAGCAATGTGGAGAGAACTCTTTCAGTGCTGCTGGAGCTTCTTTATGTTCTAAGTGTCCGGAAGACATGGTCTCAGCTGCTGGTTCTACATCAGAGGATGATTGCGTTCATGGTAAGAAAAATGCTATATCTTAACTTTATCATTGACATACTGTGATGCAATGTAAACAACTAAACAAAAATTCCTTGAATTCGATTTAGGCAGTACGATCGTTGTTATCTTTTTGAATTATCATTCAAGCAGTGGTTGGTTCTTTTGAGACTGCTAATGATATTTGTTACAGCTCCCTGCTCGGCTGGAAACTACATGACGGAAAGTGGATGTCAGCAATGTGGAGATAACTCTTTCAGTGCTGCTGGAGCTTCTTCATGTTCTAAGTGTCCGGAAGACATGGTCTCAGCTGCTGGTTCTACATCAGAGGATGATTGCGTTTATGGTAAGAAAAATGCTATATCTTAATTTTATCATTGACATACTGTGATGCAAGGTAAACAACTAAAAAAAATTCCTTGAATTCGATTTAGGCAGTACGATCGTTGTTATCTTTTTGAATTATCATTCAAGCAGTGGTTGGTTCTTTTGAGACTGCTAATGATATTTGTTACAGCTCCCTGCTCGGCTGGAAACTACATGACGGAAAGTGGATGTCAGCAATGTGGAGAGAACTCTTTTAGTGCTACTGGAGTTTCTTCATGTTCTAAGTGTCCGGAAGACATGGTCTCAGCTGCTGGTTCTACATCAGAGGATGATTGCGTTTATGGTAAGAAAAATGCTATATCTTAACTTTATCATTGACATACTGTGATGCACTGATGCAATGTAAACAACTAAATTCCGATTCTTTGAATTCGATTTAGGCAGTGCAATTGTTGTTACCTTTTTATATTATCATTTAAGCAGTTGTTGGTTCTTTTGAGACTGCTAATGATATTTGTTACAGCTCCCTGCTCGGCTGGAAGCTTCATGACGGAAAGTGGATGTCAGCAATGTGGAGATAACTCTTTCAGTGCTGCTGGAGCTTCTTCATGTTCTGAGTGTCCGGAAGACATGGTCTCAGCTGCTGGTTCTACATCAGAGGATGATTGCGTTTATGGTAAGAAAAATGCTATATCTTAATTTTATCATTGACATACTGTGATGCAATGTAAACAACTAAACAACGATTCATTGAATTCGATTTAAGCACTGCAATTGTTGTTATCTTTTTGAATTATCATTTAAGCAGTGGTTGGTTCTTTTGAGACTGCTAATGATATTTGTTACAGCTCCCTGCTCGGCTGGAAGCTTCATGACGGAAAGTGGATGTCAGCAATGTGGAGATAACTCTTTCAGTGCTGCTGGAGCTTCTTCATGTTCTGAGTGTCCGGAAGACATGGTCTCAGCTGCCGGTTCTACTTCAGAGGATGATTGCGTTTATGGTAAGAAAGTACAATATTTTATCATTAACATACTGTGATGCGAAAGAAACAACTAAACTCCAATCCCTTAAATTCGATTTAGGCAGTGCACTTGTTGTTATCTTTTTAAATCATCATTTAAGCAGTGGTTGGTTCTTTTGAGACTGCTAATGATATTTGTTACAGCTCCCTGCTCGGCTGGAAGCTTCATGACGGAAAGTGGATGTCAGCAATGTGGAGATAACTCTTTCAGTGCTGCTGGAGCTTCTTTATGTTCTGAGTGTCCGGAAGACATGGTCTCAGCTGCTGGTTCTACATCAGAGGATGATTGTGTTTATGGTAAGAAAAATGCTATATCTTAATTTTATCATTGACATACTGTGATGCAATGTAAACAACTAAACTCCGATTCCTTGAATTTGATTTAGGCAGTGCAATCGTTGTTACCTTTTTAGATTATCATTCAAGCAGTGGTTGGTTCTCTCGAACCAGCTAATGATATTTGTTACAGCTCCCTGCTCGGCTGGAAGCGTTATGACAGAAAGTGGATGTCAGCAATGTGGAGATAACTCTTTCAGTGCTGCTGGAGCTTCTTCATGTTCTGAGTGTTCGGAAGACATGGTCTCAGCTGCCGGTTCTACTTCAGAGGATGATTGCGTTTATGGTAAGAAAGTACAATATTTTATTATTAACATACTGTGATGCGAAAGAAACAACTAAACTCCAATTCCTTAGATTCGATTTAGGCAGTGCACTTGTTGTTATCTTTTTAAATCATCATTTAAGCAGTGGTTGGTTCTTTCGAAACAGCTAATGATATTTGTTACAGCTCCCTGCTCGGCTGGAAGCTTCATGACGGAAAGTGGATGTCAGCAATGTGAAGAGAACTCTTTCAGTGCTGCTGGAGTTTCTTTATGTTCTGAGTGTTCGGAAGACATGGTCTCAGCTGCCGGTTCTACTTCAGAGGATGATTGCGTTTATGGTAAGAAAAATGCTATATCTTAACTTTATCATTGACATACTGTGATGCAATGTAAACAACTAAACTCCGATTCCTTGAATTTGATTTAGGCAGTGCAATCGTTGTTACCTTTTTAGATTATCATTTAAGCAGTGGTTGGTTCTCTCGAACCAGCTAATGATATTTGTTACAGCTCCCTGCTCGGCTGGAAGCTTCATGACGGAAAGTGGATGTCAGCAATGTGGAGATAACTCTTTCAGTGCTGCTGGAGCTTCTTCATGTTCTGAGTGTCCGGAAGACATGGTCTCAGCTGCCGGTTCTACATCAGAGGATGATTGCGTTTATGGTAAGAAAAGTCCTATATTTTATTACAAACACACTGCGATGCAATGTAAACAACTCAACTCCGATTCCTTGAATTCCATTTAAGCAGCACAATTATTGGGGTTATTTTTTTAGATTATCATTTAAGCAGTGGTTGATTCTTTCGAGATTGCTAATGATATTTGTTACAGCTCCCTGCTCGGCTGGAAGCTTCATGACGGAAAGTGGATGTCAGCAATGTGGAGATAACTCATTCAGTGCTGCTGGAGCTTCTTCATGTTCTAAGTGTCCGGAAGACATGGTCTCAGCTGCTGGTTCTACATCAGAGGATGATTGCGTTTATGGTAAGAAAAATGCTATATCTTAATTTTATCATTGACATACTGTGATTCAAGGTAAACAACTAAAAAAAATTCCTTGAATTCGATTTAGGCAGTACGATCGTTGTTATCTTTTTGAATTATCATTCAAGCAGTGGTTGGTTCTTTTGAGACTGCTAATGATATTTGTTACAGCTCCCTGCTCGGCTGGAAACTACATGACGGAAAGTGGATGTCAGCAATGTGGAGAGAACTCTTTTAGTGCTACTGGAGTTTCTTCATGTTCTAAGTGTCCGGAAGACATGGTCTCAGCTGCTGGTTCTACATCAGAGGATGATTGCGTTTATGGTAAGAAAAATGCTATATCTTAACTTTATCATTGACATACTGTGATGCAATGTAAACAACTAAACAAAAATTCCTTGAATTCGATTTAGGTAGTACGATCGTTGTTACCTTTTTAGATTATCATTTAAGCAGTTGTTGGTTCTTTTGAGACTGCTAATGATATTGGTTACAGCTCCCTGCTCGGCTGGAAGCTTCATGACGGAAAGTGGATGTCAGCAATGTGGAGAGAACTCTTTCAGTGCTGCTGGAGCTTCTTCATGTTCTGAGTGTCCGGAAGACATGGTCTCAGCTGCTGGTTCTTCATCAGAGGATGATTGCGTTTATGGTAAGAAAAATGCTATATCTAAACTTTATCATTGACATACTGTGATGCAATGTAAACAACTAAACAACAATTCCTTGAATTCGATTTAGGTAGTACGATCGTTGTTCTCTTTTTGAATTATCATTTAAGCAGTGGTTGGTTCTTTTGAGACTGCTAATGATATTTGTTACAGCTCCCTGCTCGGCTGGAAACTACATGACGGAAAGTGGATGTCAGCAATGTGGAGAGAACTCTTTCAGTGCTGCTGGAGCTTCTTCATGTTCTGAGTGTCCGGAAGACATGGTCTCAGCTGCTGGTTCTACATCAGAGGATGATTGCGTTTATGGTAAGAAAAATGCTATATCTAAACTTTATCATTTACATACTGTGATGCAATGTAAACAACTAAACAACAATTCCTTGAATTCGATTTAGGTAGTACGATCGTTGTTCTCTTTTTGAATTATCATTTAAGCAGTGGTTGGTTCTTTTGAGACTGCTAATGATATTTGTTACAGCTCCCTGCTCGGCTGGAAACTACATGACGGAAAGTGGATGTCAGCAATGTGGAGAGAACTCTTTCAGTGCTGCTGGAGCTTCTTCATGTTCTGAGTGTCCGGAAGACATGGTCTCAGCTGCCGGTTCTACATCAGAGGATGATTGCGTTTATGGTAAGAAAAGTCCTATATTTTATTACAAACACACTGCGATGCAATGTAAACAACTCAACTCCGATTCCTTGAATTCCATTTAAGCAGCACAATTATTGGGGTTATTTTTTTAGATTATCATTTAAGCAGTGGTTGATTCTTTCGAGATTGCTAATGATATTTGTTACAGCTCCCTGCTCGGCTGGAAGCTTCATGACGGAAAGTGGATGTCAGCAATGTGGAGATAACTCATTCAGTGCTGCTGGAGCTTCTTCATGTTCTAAGTGTCCGGAAGACATGGTCTCAGCTGCTGGTTCTACATCAGAGGATGATTGCGTTTATGGTAAGAAAAATGCTATATCTTAATTTTATCATTGACATACTGTGATTCAAGGTAAACAACTAAAAAAAATTCCTTGAATTCGATTTAGGCAGTACGATCGTTGTTATCTTTTTGAATTATCATTTAAGCAGTGGTTGGTTCTTTTGAGACTGCTAATGATATTTGTTACAGCTCCCTGCTCGGCTGGAAACTACATGACGGAAAGTGGATGTCAGCAATGTGGAGAGAACTCTTTTAGTGCTACTGGAGTTTCTTCATGTTCTAAGTGTCCGGAAGACATGGTCTCAGCTGCTGGTTCTACATCAGAGGATGATTGCGTTTATGGTAAGAAAAATGCTATATCTTAACTTTATCATTGACATACTGTGATGCACTGATGCAATGTAAACAACTAAATTCCGATTCTTTGAATTCGATTTAGGCAGTGCAATTGTTGTTACCTCTTTATATTATCATTTAAGCAGTTGTTGGTTCTTTTGAGACTGCTAATGATATTTGTTACAGCTCCCTGCTCGGCTGGAAGCTTCATGACGGAAAGTGGATGTCAGCAATGTGGAGATAACTCTTTCAGTGCTGCTGGAGCTTCTTCATGTTCTGAGTGTCCGGAAGACATGGTCTCAGCTGCTGGTTCTACATCAGAGGATGATTGCGTTTATGGTAAGAAAAATGCTATATCTTAATTTTATCATTGACATACTGTGATGCAATGTAAACAACTAAACAACGATTCATTGAATTCGATTTCGGCAGTGCAATCGTTGTTACCTTTTTAGATTATCATTTAAGCAGTGGTTGGTTCTCTCGAACCAGCTAATGATATTTGTTACAGCTCCCTGCTCGGCTGGAAGCGTTATGACAGAAAGTGGATGTCAGCAATGTGGAGATAACTCTTTCAGTGCTGCTGGAGCTTCTTCATGTTCTGAGTGTTCGGAAGACATGGTCTCAGCTGCCGGTTCTACTTCAGAGGATGATTGCGTTTATGGTAAGAAAGTACAATATTTTATTATTAACATACTGTGATGCGAAAGAAACAACTAAACTACAATTCCTTAAATTCGATTTAGGCAGTGCACTTGTTGTTATCTTTTTAAATCATCATTTAAGCAGTGGTTGGTTCTTTCGAAACAGCTAATGACATTTGTTACAGCTCCCTGCTCGGCTGGAAGCTTCATGACGGAAAGTGGATGTCAGCAATGTGGAGATAACTCTTTCAGTGCTGCTGGAGCTTCTTCATGTTCTGAGTGTCCGGAAGACATGGTCTCAGCTGCCGGTTCTACTTCAGAGGATGATTGCGTTTATGGTAAGAAAGTACAATATTTTATTATTAACATACTGTGATGCGAAAGAAACAACTAAACTCCAATTCCTTAAATTCGATTTAGGCAGTGCACTTGTTGTTATGGTAAAAGAAATATATTCATTTTGCTAAGATTATGTTTGCGTTTCATTGCTCAACAGCTGTTCGAATGATCAAATTTAAGAAGCACTTGTTGTTATCTTTTTAAATCATCATTTAAGCAGTGGTTGGTTCTTTCGACACAGCTAATGATATTTGTTACAGCTCCCTGCTCGGCTGGAAGCTTCATGACGGAAAGTGGATGTCAGCAATGTGGAGATAACTCTTTCAGTGCTGCTGGAGCTTCTTTATGTTCTGAGTGTCCGGAAGACATGGTCTCAGCTGCTGGTTCTACATCAGAGGATGATTGCGTTTATGGTAAGAAAAATGCTATATCTAAACTTTATCATTGACATACTGTGATGCAATGTAAAAAACTAAACTCCGATTCCTTGAATTCGATTTAAGCAGAACAATTATTGTGTTTATCTTTTTAGATTATCATTTAATAAGTATAATAATAATATCATTTTATAAGTAGTATTTGGTTATTTTGCCACTGTTAATGGTATTCGTTATAGCTCCCTGCTCGGCTGGAAGCTACATGACGGAAAGTGGATGTCAGCAATGTGGAGATAACTCTTTCAGTGCTGCTGGAGCTTCTTCATGTTCTGATTGTCCTGAAGACATGGTCTCAGCTGCCGGTTCTACATCAGAGGATGATTGCTTTTATGGTAAGAAAAATGCTGTATTTTATTATAAACATACTGTGATGCAATGGAAACAAATAAACTCCGATTCCTTGAATTCGATTTAAGCTGTGCAATTGTTGTTATATTTTTAGATTATCATTTAATTTTAGTAAGTATAATATCTTTTTATAAGTAGTATTTGGTTATTTTGCCACTGTTAATGGTATTCGTTATAGCTCCCTGCTCGGCTGGAAGCTACATGACGGAAAGTGGATGTCAGCAATGTGGAGATAACTCTTTCAGTGCTGCTGGAGCTTCTTCATGTTCTGATTGTCCTGAAGACATGGTCTCAGCTGCCGGTTCTACATCAGAGGATGATTGCGTTTATGGTAAGAAAAGTCCTATATTTTATTATAAACACACTGCGATGCAATGGAGACAACTCAACTCCGATTCCTTGAATTCCATTTAAGCAGCACAATTATTGGGGTTATCTTTTTAGATGATCATTTAAGCAGTGGTTGATTCTTTCGAGATTGCTAATGATATTTGTTACAGCTCCCTGCTCGGCTGGAAGCTTCATGACGGAAAGTGGATGTCAGCAATGTGGAGATAATACTTTCAGTGCTGCTGGAGCTTCTTCATGTTCTGATTGTCCTGAAAACATGGTCTCAGTTGCTGGTTCTACATCAGAAGATGATTGCGTTTATGGTAAGAAAAGTACTATATTTTATTATAAACATACTGTAATGCAATGGAAACAACTAAACTCCGATTCCTTGAATTCCATATAAGCAGCACAATTATTGTGGTTATCTTTTTAGATTATCATTTAAGTATTGTTTGGTTCTTTTGCCACTGTTGACTGCTAACGGTATTTGTTACAGTCCCTTGCTCGGCTGGAAGCTACATGACGGAGAGTGGATGTCAGCAATGTGGAGATAACTCTTTCAGTTTTGCTGGAGCGTTTTCATGTTCCAGTTGTCCTGAAAATATGGTTTCAGTTGCCGGCTCTATGTCGGAGGATGATTGTGTTTTTGGTAAAAACTAAAAATGAGAACTTATTGAACTGCTACTGATTATCTACTACTAAAAGATAATTTTTGTTACTACTTATAGCCATTTAGAGAAAGTCTTTATAACTAAGGCTAAAAGGCTTTAAGATTTCTCATGGAATAGTTTGGCTCGTTCTGAAATGACGTATTTCAGCACCATGCTTTGCTGGAAACTACATGACGGATAGTGGATGTCAGCAATGTGGAAACAACACTTTCAGTGCTGCTGGAGCTTTTTCTTGTACAAGCTGTCCTGAAGACATGGCCTCAGCTGTTGGTTCTACATCAGAGGAGGATTGTGTTTTCGGTAAGAATGGGACGACCAAATTTTAACATTATAATGAGCTGCGATAAAAAACATTTCATATTAATTTTTTCTAAATAAACTATATTTCTACCATTGAAGTGTTTTCTGTTAATTATTGATTAGTTATTCCCGAAACGAAAAGAGATACGAATAGCTACTGGTGGATATTGAGACAACAGGCTGGAAAGGGGATCTCTTCACGATAGAAGTTGGGTGTGGTGGGTTTTCTCAGAACCTCGAATATTCAATTTCCTTAACAGCACCAGGGATAAGAAGAGGAGGGCACTGAATACCATTGCAGTAGTGTCCCTCAAAGGTTCTTACATTATTTGGCTTGGTCGCTACAACAAGACCTGGAGTGACAACTGGCAACTGGCTAAAAGACCAGGCCCAGTTTAATCCTGATAAACAGCTGACCGTGGGGCCCATAAAACGTCGTTCAAAACTACATCTGGGGTCGTAAGTTCCAGACATCAGAAGAAGTCAAACGGTGTGGATGATTCTGCGTCTGAAAAGACTAAAGAATTGAGGTAATAATAGTTGGTTTGGTCTCCATCTAATTTGATAATTTTCAGCTCCATGCTTGGCTGGAAGTTACATGACAGACAATGGATGTCAGCAATGTGGAGAGAACACTTTCAGTGCTGCTGGAGCTTCTTCATGTTCTGATTGTCCTATAAAAAACATGGTTTCAGCTGCTGGTTCTTCATCAGAGGATGATTGCGTTTTTGGTAAGAATTTTATCACATTATATTGCAGCTGAACACATCATTGAAGCACATTTTTATCTATTTTCCGATTCCCCAAATCCATTTCATGATTCAAATCAGTGATATACATTATTCAAAGATAGTCACCATTTATTCATATTGGATTTTTCTCAGATCTCTGCTCGGCTGGAAGCTACATGACGGATAATGGATGTCAACAATGCGGAGAGAACACTTTCAGTGCTGCTGGAGCTTCTTTTTGTAAGAGTTGTCCTAAAGACATGGTCTCAGCTGCTGGTTCTACATCAGAGGATGATTGTTCCTTTGGTAAGAATTTGTTATTGTCTATGATTAATGGTTTTCCTCTCCGGATGATTATTTTGTTGGATCTTGGCTACCATCTTCTACGAAACATTTATTATTTGTTATGAACAGATTCGTCTCATATAATGTACGACACACAAAATATTTACTGCTTGTTTTTGTTTGCCTTGATACGTTTGGAAATTGGAACAGTTATCGATTAAAGTTTTGCAGCAATTGTATGCACATAGCCATCTAAATGCCTAGATGGTTGTCACTTTCAATCTACAGTTATTTGCTATATCAATTGTTTTGACGGTATGATACGTAAACTAATTTTTAATTTGTTCAACCTTTCAGAACAACGCCGAACATGCAACTGCTGGACAAAGGAGTGTGGATTCTGTTCCAGCATGAAGTGTGCAGTAAAACAAGATCTTTTCAAATCCAAAAGAGGTATCATGGTTCGCTCTAAGCCCAATCTGAGAACTTATGACACAATCTTCCTGTTTGACGTTGAAGGAAAGATGCTCGGTCAGTTCCAGTGGAACCTAAAAGGCATCTTCCTCGCGGGAGGTTGTGTCCAGTGCCGAACACCACCAGCGCTGAGAGATGCAAGGATAAAAAACGGACTTACAGCTTGGACCCTTACCCTTACTGATGGATTGCTCCAGATCAAGATTGGGGACAAGCATCTTTATGAGAAAAGTTTGAAGGGAGAGTGCCGCAAGATATACAGCAAAACTAGGCGATTTGCTTTTTACAATATGAAATGCGAGACCACCTTTTCATATCTGCCCAATGAGATGGAGATTGGTGATGGTATGACATCTGACTGTGCTGGAACTTGCCCTTCATTTTAAAGTAGTGTATAATAATGAAGTGAACTTTTTAGGCTTAGACTGAGATTTAAGCGATTCACCCACATTGCTTTCAGTAGATACCTTTACTGTATATTTTTGTCTTTAAATCGATAAAAGCCATGGCTTAGTCAATATGTTCTGAGATTGAAATTGAATGGAATGTTTAAATAGTGTACAATTATTTTAGTAGGTGACACTGTCATTGCAGCTTATCACTGGGCAATCTTTTATTATTTGCATGGTTTCGTTTAATCAATAAAAATGAAATTAAACGTGAATTTATCACAGTTTCTATTCTTTCATAAAGTTATAATTATATAGAAGGAAAGAGGGATATATGGAGCACGTTATGAACTATTATATATTAAGACAGTTTTTGTTATGCTAATATCATTGTATTCATATCTTCTCAATATCTAAAATATCATACATCAAATAAAATATTATTTCTAGATTATATTGGTCTTTCGTTTGGTCGATAAGAGAAAAAATGACCTAAATTTACCTCGGTTGCTAGGGGACTGATTGCGGTTGCTATGGTGGTCATGGTAACGTAAAAACTTGAGAAGTCACCATTAAACCTTAGAACTACCAATAACCTTTTTACAGAATGAAGTTATTCAGACAAATGGATTAAAAGTTATCCAAAAAGAACATCCTTGCAAGACTTTTGAAACACCCTGTACTTAACTTTTTAAAATGAATTTGATTCACTACTCACCGATATTCATGAATAAAATACTGACAATAACTACAAGTCTAATGCCCTGTGCGTCACAGACAAAATGATGTTCATCGATTCTGCAGGACTACTCTCCGTATGTGATTTTTGTTATATCAATATGATGGACAAATATAATCATGGAATAATAAATAATCCGTTGGTAACAGGTAAAACTCATTTACTCATTTAGGAATCAGCATCTTCCGCTGTAATACCTTAGGTACAACAATCGTCTTTTCTATTTTCGTTTGATAATTCGGAATCTGTATTGCGCTTCCAGCTTCTGCAGATTCATGAATCTTATTTGCAGGAACACGTTAGTCAAACAGATTAAGATGCCGCTTACCTGGGGACCCCAGGCTATTATGTTCATAATAAAGATTCGGCGGAATGACAAGCTGAGCGCCGCCCAGTAAAATGCCGCATCATAGAGATTAACAAAAAATGAATAGTTTTCCCCCATAATTTATAAATTCCATCTTGTTATTATTACAATGATAACGGTATTAGACGTGATTCGTTTAAATCTCAGTCTGAGCTTAAAAGTTCGCTTCATTAGAGACTGCTTTAAAATAAAGGGCAAATTGCAGCACAGTCAGATGTCATTATGTCTTCACCAATCTCCATCTCATTGGACAGATATGAGAAGGTAGTCGCGCGGGTCATATCGTAAATAGCAAATCGCTTAGTTTTGCTGAATAATTTTGCGGCATTCCCCCCTTAATTGATTGTCATAAAGAACCTTGTCACCAATCTTGATCTCGAGCAATCCATCAGTAAAATGACAATCGGCCACAAACACGCCTACATCATCAAAAATCTTAACACTACACTCAGTAACAACAGACAAAATTACAGAACTGCAGTGCACCTTATCACGGGACACTGTGGCTTAAACAAACACCTTTACACTGCATTCGCACTGTCTCACACTTTCTTGGACAGTGCCCGGCTATTGCCCAAATAAGAGGACAATATTTCCAGGACTATTACCTCTCCGTCAATGACATATTTGACAACCAACACATCTCCACTATTGTCAATTTTGCAAACCGCACCAAAACAATTTTGCTATTCGACAGGTTAAATCGTTCAATCCATTGGCCACGAAAAACGTTGTGTAAACTTCGTTTAGATCATTACACTGTTCGGCCTGATCGACCAAAACACCACACTGATAATTGTTACAATGTTAGTATTGATCTTGTTTAACTCATTGAAGTAATTATGTGAAACAACCCCTTCCAGAATTTAGCCTTTAAAACCGCTCAACCGCTGCTATATATGAGCGAAATTGAAAAAAAAACTAGCTGAATAATTGAAAAATCTAATAAATTGAACGGAAAATAGCGTACAATTATTTTAGTAGAGATAAACATTCACATTTCACTACATTGAAGAATTTAATTTTTATGTCTAATAAACTAAATGGATAAAAAAATGATTGTCATTAAAAAATTGATGTGTTATAACAACCTAGCTTGAAATAAGTACTGCTATGATAATTTAACAAGAAAATTGAATTTGTTTCACTACTCACCGATATTCATGAATAAAATACTGACAATAACTACAAGTGTAATGCCCTGTGCGTCACTGACAAAATGATGTTCATCAATTCTGCAGGACTACTGTCCGTATAGTATGTGATTTATGTTATACATCAATTTGTATGATGGACAAATATAATCATGGAATAATAAATAACCCGTTGGAGTCGCCGCATTAGAGTTGTAAAGTTATCAAGAAATACAAGTTAATCCGCTGGTAACAGGTCAAACTCATTTAGGAATCAGCATCTTCCGCTGTAATACCTTAAGTAAACAATCGTCTTTTCAATTTTTGTTTATGATAATTCAAAATCTGTATTGTGCTTCTGCAGATTCAGGAATCTTATTTGCAGGAACACGTTAGTTAAACAGATTAAGATGCCGCATGATAGAGATTAACAAAAAACGGACAGTTTTCCCCCAGAATTGATAAATTCCATCTTGTTGTTATAGTGATGACAGAATTAAACTAGATTCGTATAAATATCAGTCTGAGCTTAAAAGTTCGCTTCATAAGAGACTCAGAGACTGCTTTAAAATAAAGGGCAAGTTGCAGCACAGTCAGATGTCATTATGTCTTCACCAATTTCCATCTCATTGGACAGATATGAGAAGGTAGTCTCGTATATCATATCGTAAATAGGAAATCGCTTAGTTTTGCTGTATAATTTGCAGCATTCCCCCCTTAATTCTTTAACTGATTGTCATAGAGAACCTTGTCACCCATCTTGATCTCGAGCAATCCATCAGTAAAATGACACTTGGCCACGAGCACGCCAACATCATCAAAAATCTTAACACTACACTCAGTAACAACAGACAAAATTACAGAACTGCAGTGCACCTTATCTCGGGACACTGTGGCTTAAACAAACACCTTTACACTGCATTCGCACTGTCTCACACTTTCTTGGACAGTGCCCGGCTATTGCCTAAATAAGAGGACAATATTTCCAGGACTATTACCTCTCCGTCAATGACATATTTGACAACTAACACATCTCCACTATTGTCAATTTTGCAAACCGCACCAATTCATTTCTGCTGTTCGAGGTTAAATCGTTCAATCCATTGGCCACGAAAAACGTTGTGTAAACTTCGTCTAGATCATTACACTGTTCGGCCTGATCGACCAAAACACCACACTGATAACTGCTACAGTGTTACTGTTAGTATTGATATAGTTTAACTTTAACTCAATGAAGTAATTATGAGAAACGACCCCTTCTAGAATTTAGCTTTTAAAACCGCTGCTATAAATGTGCGAAATCAGAAAAAACTAGCTGAATAATGGAAAAATCGAATAAATGGAATGGAAAATATTCTCGAAAAGTCTCAACAAATATGAATAAAAGTTTTGTAGACAAAAAATTCCAGGCATTAAGATTCATCGGAACTCGGAAGTGTTCAGCAGGTTTAGTTTGAATGTGGCCCCCCCCCCCCCCTCCCCCCAACTTATATGTTTACAGTACACTACAATCAATTCATTTCCCATCATTCGACTGAGGAGACATTGCACAGATGTAAATAACCATTAACCAAAGACGTCAGTTCAGAGGTTTACAGCTTAGCTCTGTTGACTCCTGTTACAATAACTCTTCGTTGGGTATATTTCGTGGCAAGGTCAAAAGGAAATCGCGGCACGTGCAGAATCGCGATTTTTCCCATTCTCCACAACAAATCGCGATTTTTGACGTTTGCGGCGGAAAATTGCGATTTTCTCAGATCCTCGCGATTTTGGGTCACGAAATCCTCTCCGAACCTCCACGTGGTGTGACCTGGTTGGCACTAACGGGTGGTGTGCTCTCTTGTTGAGTACAAAGGTTGGGACTTGCCAACTCAAAGTTCCCATAGGAACCAGGAAGTCAACACTAACAGCTACCAAGCACCAGGAAATTTCTCTTTCAGATATCAGGTTACAAGATAGTACACATACAAATGACGACACGTTATAAACAGATACCTAGTTCTAAGAGCTATTAAATCACCAGGAAATTCTCTTTCAGCTTTCAGGTCCCATCGAAGTCACCCACCACAGAGATAGGGATTCCAATTCGCTCATCCTGACTACGAGGATACACTAATAATGAGTATAGTCTTGGCACTTCTCCCTCCAGTAACCACTTTTCAGGTCTTTTCAGTTAAGACAGCTAATGGCAATGCGTAAAGGCTGACACACGCTAGACACAGGCTCGTGATAAGACAGAGTTAGGGATTTCAACTCTGACTACGAGGACACACTGATAGCGAGAATTCCTCAATTCCTGGCACTTCTTCCTCCAGTAACCACTCTTCAGGGGACCGGGTTAGCTTTGCCACACTCTTCATCGAAGTGTGACTGGACGCTCTACATTCATCTAGTAACAGCAGAGTTTGACTAACACCCTTACTGGTTCTAATCTGTTTCTACAGCGGAAGATCTCAACGCTCGAAAACAGTTCATCTTGGACATCCTGCAGAGATGCTTTATCACAGCCTGCCCCATTACACGGGGAACCCTTAGATCTACAGTACCCTGGTGGACAGCATAGCTCACTATAGCATAGCGGACTTTTTTAGTTATGAGACGCAAAGCTAACCGGACCAGGAATAAACATCAATGCAATGCTTAGGGGATGCAAATAGGACATACAACGTTGAACGAATGCATTACTCAAACTTTGGATTCATTTTGTAGCTCGACGTTACATGGTAACATTTCAGGACAGACATTCCTCCTTCAGGTTCATTGAGGAAAGCGTACCCGCGTCCCGCTATTTGCGTTATACATGGCAAGTATCTGTACTAATGATAACTTAGGATCTCCATCTTTCATTAACTCCTCTTAGATTCCCAGGATGCATTTAAAGCGCTTAACAGCACCAGTTTTAACTCCAGGTTCGTTCTGAACATTTCAGACCAACTCAACTCACTAGGTATTCACATCGAGTAGAACGTCGTTTCAGGACATGAAGGAGTATAAGTATACGGTAAAGAACTAGTGGACGAATTCGCAAGGGACGATCAATCCAACAACAATCAACATGCCCATAGGACCAGAACCCTTCCTCCCAATTAGGCCACACTCAGTAACTAAGGAACATTCCACTTGAGATGTTCCTCCACAAATATAATTACAGGAACTTACATTTTTCTGGAACTCACATCAGATGGCTATTGGCTAACATGGTCGCTTTCAGGATA